GAATCGTGTAATATACAAATAATTGCAATAGAAATACAAAGATTCATTAAACAATAAATATATAATCACAAGACAAAAAGCGATACAAAATGACATACTACAATAATTAAACAAAAACGAAATTTAAGAACTGTAATAATGTAATTAGTAAATCTAGATTAAGTTATGACGCGACAATTTACCTTAAAAATTTACGTACTAGAGCCCCAGCATATCCTTTGAGAGGGAAGGAAAGTAAAATGCGATATTGATATCACGTCAGATGATTAGTACATTTTGTAAAATAGATTACTGAATATTTTTCAATTAAAATCTAAGTTTTATTGGAGATTAATGTATTCAATAGTCTTTCAACCCATTTTGGAAGTATAATTGGATTTTATTTATATTTCGCCATGAGTTATTTTCTTATTCACAAACTGGTAGTAACCTAATTATTGTATTTGAATAAAATAATTTATTAAAATGAGCAAAAATAAATAACAATAAAAATAACGATTTTATATTTTTAATCATTGATTTATAGTGATGCAACGAATACGCAGAATATTCGCAGTATAGTAGACGTTTACCGAATATTCGTATTCGGCGAATACTAATCACGAATATTTAAAAACTAATATTTTTGTCCGCAACTCTAATTACTGGCAGACTTGGAAAAAAAGTAAAATTTAATTTCATGATATCTTTTACAGGGGATTCGCAATCTTAAAACGAGATTCTTATCTAAAGCTTCCAAATTTATCGCCGACTGCTGATACATTGGCCTTTTGGCGAGAAGTTGTCCACTTTCCAAGACTGAAAAAATACGCCCAAAATATTTTTCACAGAAACCATGTACAGTTACACCGAAACAGGAAAGGCTTTTTTCAACGGCTGGAAACACCATCAAAAATATACAAATTGTATGTTTTTTAAATAAAAATTTGGGTATTGTAAATTAACTAAAATTCATCAAATGAATTAGTTATTTATTACCATGACGAGATATTCGTATTCGCCGAATAGTAGGTTTGATATTCGTATTCGTATTCGTAAAAGTAGTATTCGTTGCATCACTAATTTATAGCCATCATGGTTGGAAAATATTTTATAATTGAGCCAAAAATCTTATTTGGTTGGTTGGTTGGTTCAGTTTGTTTATGCTGGGGCTAAGAATATTACTTTGTACATTTATTATTGCTAATTTTGGTGATGTAGTGTTTTACAATGATATTAGGCACATATTAATACAAATACAAAAATAAATGGAGTGTAAAGATGCGGGATTTCATTTGTCTCGTTAATTTTTCTGACAATAAAATACTGACAGCCGGAATTGTTTATCTACAATGGTTCTGATTCTACGCTTTATAAAATGTACATCTTAATACATTCTTTAGTTTGATTAAATAATTAGTGCTTTAATAAATAAATGGACCAATTTGTAATAAAAGAAAACTCATCAACTACTACCAAGCTTAATTTTATGTTTATGAAAACATAAAATATATGTCGTATAAAATTTTTAGAATCGGAACTAGAGCATACGAGTAACCTGTTAAACGAAAACAATTTCTTTCGCTTTCGATTAGTTTTAAAATCACCAATAATAATTGGACACAAAAACTCTATTAAAATCGTGGATTTACTTTATTAGTAAAATCACTTTTACATTTAATAGTCATGATAATAATTTTAATTTTATTTTTTTCTTTAAAAATGGTACCAATGTGCTCTAGTCCTTATTCTAGGACAAAGATGAAAATATCTACAACTTACAAATTTGTTGCTCTTATATTCAACTAGTATTAAAATAAAATATTCTTAATTAGAAATATTACTAGCATATTATATAAAATAACGTGTAAACCTACCCAGACTTTATCGTACATCTATTAAAATTGACAAAATAAAACCATAATATAAACTTTAGATACTATTCCATATTAACTTTTTTAATATTCAATAAACGAAACTGATGAAAAGTTCTCATTACTTGTGTAGACTATTTACATTATTTAGTAATATACTAAATTATGTGTACTTAGTTTCGCCACTGTAGGATATGAACGCCACAACTACGAAAGGAGTTCATGAAATTTTATTTATATAATAATTCTAGTCAACTTTTAACTGCAAAGCTTATTCAAATTATTTGATTTAAAAAATGAAATAAAAAGTAAAAATAATAATGAATTTTAAATGTTTGGCAAACGACATTTTTTCGTTACTATTAGACATGTGTCAATCATGCATAATTCGTGCGTTTGAGCTGGTATACTTAAAAGTATTGATAGTTCATTCATTTGTTTTTGACTGTACCAGTACAACCAATCACAAACAATTGACGGTACGTTTTTAACCCGCGATTTGTTTGAATTGTGAATGAGCCGCAAACCGACCGAATCCCGAATGATCTGAATAAACAGGCGAATTGAATAAACAATGCAGACTGCAGAGTATCAGGTGTATTTATTCATTAAGGGTTTCTTATTATAATATTGTTACCAAAATTAAAAACTATTTTACATTTTATTATATTTACTTGTTACATCTTTGAGTTAAAAATATCATTTCGTAGAGTTTACTAAAAATAACACTTCGAAAGATTTCCTGATAAATGATTTATTTAATAAGATAATTTTCAACCACCTTATATAAGTATAAAATAGATAAAAGTTTAATTTCGTAACAAATAAATGTTACAATCCCTATTTTTTGACATGTAAAGTAAGATGAAATTGTGCATTGTTAGGAATGAAATTTTTGTGTTTATGCCATCTAGCGTCGATTGTACTTACCACTTTGAAAGTCAATAAGTTTTAGTTCGATAAATTGACTTTATTACCTGTAACATGTAGTAGATGGCGCTATTACAAATCTCATATAGAAAATATTCGGCCCCAATAGACTCACAGATTCACAGAGTACTGGAGCCTAAAAAGATCCATTGAATGATCGATCCGAATGTACCACGTTACGAAATGTACTAGAATGATTCGGTGAAATGAATGATTGACACACATGTCTAGTTACTATGTTAATGTTCAACACTCGCTGCCCGCGGTGTAATAAAATGAGTAAACAGTACGCCGCTTGTTGTTCTTTTTTGTTGCGCTATGTGCTCTCTGTCGCACTTACGAGCCTAACTGCAAGCTTGCCGCGAGAAAGAGTACGCAAAACGCAACAGGCGGCGTCCTGTGGTACTGTTTCCGCTTTTTATTGCACCGTTTAACATCAGTATAATCAAATAATTGCGACTCTATTTATTTTATTAATTTGTCGCTTAGTGGATAATATTTAGAGAATTTAACATTTACATCGTTATTGCGGGTCAATGATCTAATATTATAGCATAATAATTAAGTACCAAAGTTTTTAACAAAGTTTCCCAAAATTAAGAACAAAGGTATAAATTTAAAATTAAAATAAAATATTACAAATATATTTTAAATTGCTTTCACTACCAGGCGTGAGTTTTTCGAATTTTCGTATAGAATAGAGTTATCTATTATATAAAATAATTTGAAAGTTCCATAATTCCTTCAAGCAGTTAATCTGCATTTTCACAAACCTAAACTTATTAAATAATGCAATTGCAAAGTAATACAGATATTGAAAACGGCTCTTACAGAATACTTTCAATTAAAATAATGATGAACACTACCTTGTTTATAAGTGAACACTAGAAATTTAAATAAACACGTCGTCACCGCTGGTGATAGGTATTCATTTAAATGTGTGGGTTGGTTCATTTTTCGTTCAAGGGTTAAGTGTATCCATAAGGGTAGTACTGTATGATAATATAAGTTTTTTTGTTTTTAATCTGACAATAAAAAATGATTATCCGCATAGCAGCGTCTGGGGATATAATAAAACGCAATTGGTCAATTTACATATATATATATATATATATATATATATATATATATATATATATATATCATTGTGCATTTGAACCCGTCTTCGAGTTGTGGCATACCCGATCTCGTAAGGACACGCAGATAAAAAGATAGTGAGTGACATATTATACATATAGCTTATTAATATTAATCATAAGTGTGTATATATTACAGAATATTTACATTTTAACATGGCGCTTGAATAAGCAAGTATTTGCCCGTACGTTGCTGATAAGCCGTTAGGTATCACATATTTTACGGAAAGGTTCATATCAAATTTATTTTAAAAGCACCTTAACTCGTCTTTATAAACGTACTTTGATATTATACTTCGGTATAGCTCAGCTAAGACGCTTATAACCTTAATTTGCCCAATACGCTGTAAACGCGTATAATATTTCTAAAAATAGTGACTCAAATTACAAAACATAACAGTGTTTGATTACCTAATAACAAGTATCTATGGTTCGTTAAAAGTAATAAATGATTTATTCACATATATGTGATATAAGTCTAGTTTGACAATTATGAAACCTTAAACAATTGCTTAGGCAATAAAAATACAGTGCTCCTCTTGTTCGCGGATCACGTTTGAGCATAATTAAAAGCAGCAGTAATACTGTGATATTAAAGTGGCAACACCCAGTGCGTAAGTTAATTTGCTTCTTTATATTCTCACCAAATTAAATTAAAGTTAACCGAAACACAGGCTTCCACCGCGTGTTTGTTCTACTTTAAAACACAAGCAATATTTTTTGCAATAAATATAGTTCACTGAATTGAAGTAAATTTACGGTGTGTTGCCAGGTGCACATGTAGTTCAGTTTTTAGGGTAAACCGATTTGGTAAATATAATAATTATATCCGGTTTCTCTAATTTATTACGTCACAGTCAGGAAATATACGATATCTTTAAATCATTAGAAATTTGGTTTTAATCTTTTGAGTCAGAGAAAAAGATGCTTCGTTTAAATCCATTGCGGTTCTTTATAAGAGTAATTGGTGAAGAATACAAATTAAGCATTACATGTATGCAACGCGACAGCGGGCAGGGAAGCGCGAGGAGGGCGCGGGGCGGGGGGGCGGCGACGGCGGGGGCGCCCGGGCCGCGCGCCGTCATACGCCGTCCAGTTGCCGCACGCGTACGTCTTGTGAAGCACACATGTCCGGGGCGAACGGCAAGCACGTAAAATAAGCACACACTGAACATTCGTACGCCGGCGCTGCGTAAAACAGAGCGATCAACGAGCACAGCATACCCGCTGCAGATATTAGACACACCCAAACCAAAATGATCTTCCTCCGTCTGTCGTACGGACCAAATGTAATAAACGGTAGCAATGCGTACGACAGGAGGAACCCGAAAACGAAACCGAACAAGTGCGCGAAATTGTCTATCCATGGTAACAAGCCGAGGAGAAAGAGTGCAAATGCAAGTCCGATTAGCTTCATCAGAGCACGTCTTGGATGCTTTAGCAGCGGCCATGCTCCTATCACTTCCACTATTAAACACGCAAGGAGTCCAAAGTGCGACCCTGCTGGACCCACCTGAAAAAAAGAAATAAAAATTATTTCTAAAATTGCAGAAATTTCAGGTTGTACGGAGTTAAACTGCATATCTGCATACCTCTGCTCGATACGGCTCAAATATAGCCGAGGCCATATTTCCAGCGACACCGCTACCTAAGTACACTACAGCTATTCTCATAGGTCCAGCCATTTTCTCCAGATCTCTCATAAAGAGCCATTGGATGGCAAGTGTAGCAGCTAGATGCAACAAGCCAGCGTGCACAAACAATGAAGTCCATGCACGATACAGCTGGTCTGGGCGCCGTCTCCTCATAAATGGTAACATTCCACACACGTCGTCAAGGCACGAAACCTAAAAATAATAATATACTTAATTATACTGGGATGCAGTATTCACTTATACATACTATGACCTGTCTTTTGTTCTAATTTTATAGAACAATAAGTAAAGTTGTTAAATGTGGATGAAATTTATATATCAGTAATTTGTTAATTTTTGCTAGAGTTTAATTCTGTAAAAGGTGCTAGAGCATAAAACTGCAAGACTTTAAAATATTGTAAGCTAATTTTGCATAAATCAAACCATAACTTAACATTTAAAGGCAAAAGTTAACTACTATGGCATTGGAGTATGCAGTACGCCAGTAATAAAAAATAATTAAAAATATTGCGATAACCAAATTTGCACACAACGATCGCTCATTGGTTATTTGTTTAGTGATGATGTAATTAATATTTTAAATTAAATTAAATTGTAATAGAAAATTGTAATAAAAGTTTAGGAAAAGTACAATAGAAGTGATTTTAGAATAGAACCAAAATAATAATTGGACTTTTTCATATTAACACATACTGCAAAATTTAATTTAGAGTTAAATAAAACTAATTTGACGGATTTAACTAATTTTATAATAAGTTTTACGATAGTTTTATTGTATGGCGTCATTAAATAATATATTTCGAGATCTTGACAATCTCTCAGTTGTTAAGTCTTACCATTGCGATGCTGAAACGTGCTGCAAATAAATTAAACATATTTCTTAATCACTTATTATTATTTCCCAAAATATTCATAGTATTCATAAAACATAAATGGGTTTATTGTACAGTTGAATAGGCTTACATCTGAACCTGATGTTATCATTCTAACAGAATGCTGTCTAGCTGAGGATGAACCACCTCCGGCTGTGGATAATTATTTATGTTATTTCTCTAAGAAAAGCCTCAACCAAAACGATGTCATATACGTAAAGCATGAAATAAAATATATGATAGAGGAACCAGAAGCCATAGATGTAAACTTTTTCTTCTGTCAATTGGCAATGACATTATTATATTGGCCGTATACAGGTCACCCTCTATTTGATTAAAACTACTTTTACGGATTTTATCGCGTTTTATTTATATTAATTTTAATACCCGACGTTTCAGGTGCTTTCCAGCACCCATGGTCACGGGGGACTGGAAAGCACCCGAAACGTCGTGTATTAAAATTAATATAAATAAAACGCGATAAAATCCGTAAAAGTAGTTTTAATCAATGTATAGTGTTCGCGTAAATATAAGAAAACATCACCCTCTATTTATTGTATAGATAAGTTTTTGAACTCTGTTGACAGTCTACTTCGTCCCTGTAAAAGTAAAACTGTTCTCCTGGTTAAAGATGTTAACATAGACATTAAGGAAAATAGTACCGATAGAAACAGGTCATTATACTTAAATCTTTTTGCGGGAATGGGATTTCTGCCAGGTCATACGTTTCCAACTAGAAAAATAGTAGTCTGGATCATGTAATGATCAAAACCCCGTTGTCAGTTCTCCTGTATCTGTCTTATAAACAGAAGCAATTAAGCGCAATCAAATTACAAAACCTAACTTTGCGGCGACTATTAAGCAACTAGAATCAACAGATTTCACTTTCATCTACCCCATAGGTGACGCCGAAGAGGCTGCAACTCTCTTTGTAGTTAAGTTATCAACTGCAATCAAATTACAAAAACTAACTTTGCGGCGACTATTAAGCAGCTAGAATCAATAGATTTCATATTCATCTACCCCATAGGTGACGCCGAAAAGGCTGCAACTCTCTTGGTAGTAAAGTTATCAACTGCAATCAAATTACAAAAACTAACTTTGCGGCGACTATTAAGCAACTAGAATCAACAGATTTCACTTTCATCTACCCCATAGGTGACGCCGAAGAGGCTGCAACTCTCTTTGTAGTAAAGTTATCCAACTGCAATCAAATTACAAAAACTAACTTTGCGGCGACTATTAAGCAACTAGAATCAACAGATTTCATATTCATCTACCCCATAGGTGACGCCAAAAAAGGCTGCAACTCTCTTGGTAGTAAAGTTATCAACTGCAATCAAATTACAAAAACTAACTTTGCGGCGACTATTAAGCAACTAGAATCAACAGATTTCATATTCATCTACCCCATAGGTGACGCCAAAAAGGCTGCAACTCTCTTTGTAGTAAAGTTATCAACTGCAAACAAATTACAAAAACTAGCTTTACGGCGACTATTAAGCAACTAGAGTCAACAGATTTCACATTCATCTACCCCATAGGTGACGCCGAAAAGGCTGCAACTCTCTTTGTAGTTAAGTTATCAACTGCAATCAAATTACAAAAACTAACTTTGCGGCGACTATTAAGCAACTAGAATCAACAGATTTCACTTTCATCTACCCCATTAATGACGCCGAAGAGGCTGCAACTCTCTTTGTAGTTAAGTTATCAACTGCAATCAAATTACAAAAACTAACTTTGCGGCGACTATTAAGCAACTAGAATCAACAGATTTCACTTTCATCTACCCCATTAATGACGCCAAAAAGGCTGCAACTCTCTTTGTAGTTAAGTTATCAACTGCAATCAAATTACAAAAACTAACTTTGCGGCGACTATTAAGCAACTAGAATCAACAGATTTCACTTTCATCTACCCCATAGGTGACGCCGAAGAGGCTGCAACTCTCTTTGTAGTTAAGTTATCAACTGCAATAAAATCTAACTCCACGAGTATTACCGTATCTTGGCGTAATATAATAACAAGGCCATGGATAAGTCCCGGATTATTCCTATTTATCCGCCATCGAAACAAGTTACATAAAATATAAACAAAGATTCAGATAACCAAATACTAAATATAACTTATAAACGTTATAGAAACTTCTGTAACGGGTTGCTGAGAAGAATAAAATGAATTTACGAAAAATCTTTATTAAAAAATGCAAGAACCAATTAAAAAATGTGGTCCTATATTAAATTCATTACGAGCTCCAATAAACAGAAAACCTCTGCAGATAATCTGCCACATTATCAGGCTAGCCCCTATGATGTTGTTGAGGATGTTAATAGATATATTGCAAACTACAGATTTATTATATGTATAGATTTCGGAAAACTATTAGCGGAAAATTATTTCACAATCTCTAAGCACTTCCCAAGACAGAAAAAATGATTATAAAATATAACTTTACAGAAATTCGATAGCTCTACTCCCACTAAATGAACGCAAAATCGAGGTCTTGATCATAACCTTCATAAAAAATTTTTAACAAAAAAAATTAAACCGCTGAAAAAACTAAAAAGCAAAAAATAACAAATCTATTTATTTTACCTTAATAACCACGTTCTTAAACTAATGTAAGTGTACCTAAGTATAAATTTCTTTAATTATTTTGAGTTTTTAATTAAACTTAATAGCTAAGTTCTTAAACTAATATAAGTATACCTAAGTAATTTTTGCCAGAAAATGCCAAGCTTTCACGAAGTTAATGTCAGTGAGACAGCAATCCTAAAAGGAATACACGTCATTGCGAGCGGTCGTGCGGAGAGCGTATTTTTTGAAATGTTAATGTTTATCGCTGAAGATTTCACGTTGCATTGTTAATTTGATTTGGTTATTTCTTTAAATTTAAGGTAATTTAGTGGTCTTTGTTCATTGATTGCTTGGCGCTTACGCAATATTACTCAGGTATACTTACATTAGTTTAAGAACTTATTTATTAAGATTAATAAAAAACTCAAAATAATTACAAAAATATATACTTAGGTACACTTATATTAGTTTAAGAACTTAGTTATTAAGTTAAAAGAAAAAGGTTTATTATTTTTTGCTTTTCAGTTCTTTCGGCGGCTTAATTTTTTTTTTTGTTAAAAAGTTTTTATTCTATAATGTTTTGTGGCTTTAATCTACTAATTTACTATATTTTTAATTTTCGATTACTTTTAAAATAACTACTTATCTTACTTTAGCTATTAACTGTTATATAATCCTACTTTAATTGTTATTTGTTTAAAGCTGTAATCAAACTCGGAAAGAAAGTGTTTGCCAAAGGGCAGACATATGTGGCAATGAGTAGAGGAAAAACACTTGAAGGTTTTGCCTTATCTGATCTAGAGACAAAGCTTTAGCAGAAATGCAGAGACTGAGGGTTCTACACACAAGAGACTTACAGGTCTAAAGCTCATTCATCGTGAGGTTTTTTGTAATGTAATGTAATTATTATGTAATGTTATTACATATTATATACAACTCAGTATTAAAGTTTGTGATTAAACAATAAATCAACCCTATTTTCTCACCTTTAGAGTAAACATTTTGTTTCCTAATTTGTATCGGCCCAATTTCGAGGTATACCATATCCAATAAAAAAGAATTATCAAAATCGTACTACTCTGTAATAAATCACCCTTATTTTCCCATCCTTATGGTATTTTTTTTCCATATTTATATAGGACCAACTTCGAAATTTACCCTATCCATTAAAACAAGAATCTACAAAATCGGACTACCCCGTAAAAAGTTTTGCGTGGTCATCATAAAAAAACAAAAAATATTCGCGTCGACTTGAGAACCTCGTCCGTTTTTTCGTTGATTGAAAATGATGGTGCTAGTACTGACTGGGACTCTATATCAAATAAACTTCTTAAGCTGATAAAACACATCATAGTCTCGGTCTTTACTATCATCGTTAAATTGTGTTTTGAGCAAGGCGGTTTTTCCATGGTTTTAAAAGAGCTCTCTTGTTGACAAGTGTAGGACAAGAGACAGTGTAACAAATTATAGAACAACTTCTGTGCTACCATCACTAACTAAAGTGTTATAAAAAATCCTGAATAACCAAAAGTCAAAATTTTTGGAACGAAATAACATTCTTTCAGACTCAGCTCGAGAATAAGTACAGACGGAGCCGTCGGTTCTTTGGTAGATTATGTTACAGAAAGTCTCGGTAAGAAACAAAAGTGTTTTGGAGTTTTTTTGATCTTGCCAAAAAATTTGACACTGTCTTGATTCCTATTATTGTGGACACGCTAGAAAGATATGGCGTACCGGGGACGGTGCTTAAAATTTATGAGGATTTTCCGATGGGTCGTCAGCAACAAGTTAAAATAAACAAATACATCAGCTCAGACATAGCTGTTAACTATGGGGTCCCACAATGCAATGTGCTCGCTTCCAGCCTCTTTCCTACATACATAATTGATCTGTGTCATTACATAAAGGCAACATTTTTACATATGCAGATGAGTATTCTTATTAGGATATTCTTATTCACGCAAATTCTGAACAAACCATCAATGTACATGGCAACCAATAAGTAAAACATCTACAGTGAAGTATCTTGGAGTACTATTGGATGAGAAACTAACTTGGAAACCACATATAGACATGATTGCTTCATGATTCAGGAAACTAACATGGGTGTTCAAAAATGTTAGGCATATAGCCGACCTAGAACTTCCTCGCAGTGTAGATTATGCACTTGTTCAATCTGCTATTGTCTATTGCATCGGAGTATTGGAAGGCGCATGTAATACCTCTATGACACATAGATACCTCTAAGATAAAGTTAATAAATTCTTACTACAGGCATACTACATTAAACTCCGAAGCACGTATTCCGCATAACATGAGACACCAACAAACGCGCGCGCGCGCATACACACACACACACACACACACACACACACACACACACACACACACACACACACACACACACACACACACACACACACACACACACACACACAAACACACACACCACACGCACGCACACACACACACACACACACACACACACACACACACACACACACACACACACACACACACACACACACAACACATACACACTCTGGAAAATTGTCTTGACATAAATAATTAGACTAAGAAACATGAGAGAAGGTGCTGAATCCTAACTTACAGGTTCTTACCTAGTTAAGGTTCAGAGGCTTCATAAGATATTTATAACCTCGTATTATGTCAATAAAGAATATTAGTATTATTATTACTGTAATAAATAGCAAAACAATAGATAACCTGTGAACACAAGGAAGCTTCTTCATGGAAATAGCCTTTGACGAAGTCGCAATGTTCACTTGTGGTGATGACGCATTGTCCATGGACTCCGATGCAGCAAGGATGAGCGATGACTTCGCAAGCCATGTGCTCGGCTGCATGACCCGCTCGTCCTACTGGTGTCGTCCCATCTACCACGGACTTGCGACAAATCGGCCATTTTGTAATATCGTCTGGCCACTCGTGTGGTGCTATTGAACGTGGTGCTTCACAAAATCTGAAATTTATTTTTATAATCAAGTCAAAACAAATTATAATTTGAAAACATTGAAGGACTATGTAAGTAAGTATTACATATCTTTCAGTGTTTAACGTAATGTACTTACGTACGGAGTACATGTTACTGCAATTACTAAAAATATATATTAAAAAAAAAACAGTTTCTAATCTGTTATCTTGGCTCATCCATCATATTAAAATTATAACGAAGAAAAAACATACCAAAACTCATTTTCGTTGTTAACAAATATTTTATTGTCTCATTATCACCATTACAGCCTCTCACAAGTCCACTGCTGAACAAAGACCTCCCCCAAGGAATGCCAAAAAGCACGGTCTTACCTACATCCATCGACTTCCTAAATGTCTTACCAGGTTGTCACTCCACAGTAGGGGGTTGCCCTACACTACACCCACCGGTACGAGGCTGCCACTCTACAACCTTTTTTACCCATCGGTTGTCGGTTCTTCGAGCTATATGGCTGGCCCAACACCACTTCAGCTTACTAATCCGTTGGGCTATGTTGGTCACTCTGGTTCTACTGCGGGGATCCTCATTTCTAAGTTTATCACGCAGAAATATTCCGAGCGTTGCCCTTTCCATAGCTCGCTGAGCGACCTTGAGCGTCCTCATATGGCCAGCAGTGAAGGACCACGTCTCAGATCCGTAAGTCATCACTGGTAACACGCACTGGTTGTACAATCTAGGTTTCAGGTTTTGAGGTATACCTGACAAGAAGATGCGTCGTAATTTCTCGAACGCTGTCCAGCCGAGTTGAATCCGTCGATTGACCTCTCGGTTGAAGTATTTGTCAACAAATTCGAGCTTAGTGCTCCCAACAACTACCGACATATGCGTGACATGGACATTAAACATGATTACTTACGACCTATCCGTTCGGAGACACTATTGAAGTCATTGATCATAGTACTTAGTTCCTCCAGCGATTATGCCGTAAGGACTATATCGTCGGCAAATCGAAGGTGAGTAGTGTACTCGCCATTGATGTTAAATACCGAATCCTTTCCAGTCCAGTAGCTTGAAAACGTCTTCCAATGCAGCGGTGAAGAGTTTCGGGGATATGACATCACCCTGTCTTACACTTCTGTGCAATTGGATAGATTTCGAACTCTGGTTTTGTACTCGGATAGCCATCGTAGCCTTACTGCACAAATACTTCAGCACTTCGATATAACGACAGTTAACTGGGCACAGCTGAAGGGACTGTAGCACCGCCCAAATTTCGACGGAATCAAATGCTTTCTCACAGTCCACACGCGCCAGGTAAAGTGGCAGATTGTACTCTTCGGTCTTATGTACAATTTGCCGCAGGGTATGTATATGGTATATGGTACTGAAAACTTTTCGGAAACTGGCTTGTTCGGGAAGCTAGAAGGCGTCGAGTCTGCATGAGAGACGATTCGTAATGACTCTCGAAAACAGCATGAAGACGTGGTTCAGAAGGGAAATCGGTCTGTAGTTCTTCAAAAGTCCGTTGTCGCCTTTTTTGAAGAACAAGACCACCTTCACTTCTTCTTTCTTCTACTGCACTTCTACTTCACGCCCCCGGAGGAGTGCCACCATGGAGGACGGAATTGAAGAGCTTCTGAAGAACTTTAAGCACCGGTGGTGCTACACTCGCTTTCAGAAGCTCCGCTGTAATTTCATCTTCGCCTGGGAATTTGCCGGTTTTATGTTGCTGGAGAGCCATTAATTCTAACCTCGCTGAGACTGACGTCCGGGATATAATCGGAATAGTGTCGGATACGACTTACTCTTGGATCATTACTCACACTTGCGTGTACAGCTGCCCATAGAACCTCTCAATCTCACTCAAAATCTCAGGTGTCCCGGAAACGATGCTGCCACACTGAGTCTTCAGCTTTGATAGTTGGCTCTTTCTGGCAGACAGATCTCTGGCAAAGACTTTGGAGCCCTAGTTCCGCTCGATTGATTTTTCAATACAAGCAGTATTAAAGTTACATAAGTCCCACCGCATTTAAAGCTTTATAATCCGTTATTCAGTTCAGACGGCGTTTGTTATGCCAAAAAAATAATAGCAAATATATATATCAAACCCATTGCTCCGGTATTAAGCAGTGTTTGATTTACGTGGATCTTTTACTCCTGCGTGCAAATTATTGCCAGTCCCCTAGCGCACCTGAGTCTACTAAGTATTGTGCTTAATACACTGCGCATTCAGTTACTTATAATAAATAATAAAAGTATTATGAATATTGAATACGTAATTTAGATTAATTTAAACGAGGTAAATTGCGTCTTGGTATATATTTTATTTTAAAAGACGTATTTAAATAAACGCTGTAATTTATTTCTCTCTCTCGTTATTATAATTGATTGGTATTCGCATTTTAAAGGCTTTTATTTATTTATTCTATATTTATGAAGGGAAGATTTTGGAGCCCTGGTTCCGCTTGATCGCTTCTTCAATACGAGCAGTATTAAAGTTGTGTAAGTCCCGCCGCATGCATTTGGAGATCTATCTGTTCAGTTGCCTGTATGCTGTCAAATCTGATGACGACTGTAGCTACATCTACCGTCTAACAGCCATGACATTAAGAGTGTGATCGGAGAGTTTTTGTGTTCTTATTCAGCAAGTCTTGCAGAACCTAGCTCTGACCACATCGACAATTTCCACGAGCTTGTCATTCATATCGTCTACTGCATTGCAATCTCCTAGGCACTTTAAACGGTTTTGTAAGGCGAGCTGAAAGGTTTCTGGATTATGGATTAGAGAAACAGAGCGTTGACTTCATTAGACGAGATCTCTCCAACTTAACGTTTAGCTTCAGTATGCCTCTAACCATTCGGTGATCACTGCCAGTTTTCACACTTGCGATCACTGAGACATCACTAAACAGTTGCCGTCTAGTCATCATAATGAAGTCAATCTCTTTATTGTCGAACCGTTGGAGCTTGACCAGGTCCACTTTCTTTTGAGCCGCTTCTGGAAGAAAGAGTTCATCATAAAGAGTCCCTCTTTCTCCATGAAGTCGGCCAGCTGCTGGCTCCTTGGGTTTCTATTTCTATTCTATTTTCTATTTTTTTATAAACGTTACCACTACACTAAGATTTTCTCTTGTCGTAGGGGCAGTTTACAAACATAAATTGCACAAGGACAAACATCCAGACCCGGAACAACTATTTGTAGGCCATACAAATATTTGTTCCGTGCGGAATTCGAACCCGCGACCCCCAGCGCAGACACTCATTGCTAAACCACTGCGCCACGAAGTCGTTGCCCTATCCCAAAATTTCTTACTTCCAGCTTACCGTTCTTTCTTGAGCCTTGTTTTGTGTTGAAGTCTCCCATTATAACAGTATAGTGCGTTTGGGAGGAATGCATGGCTCTAGAAATATCATCATACACTTTCTCCACCTTCTTATAGGGATGTGCCGACGTTGGTGCGTAAACCGGTATAACCTTCAGCGAATACCGTTTGGTGATTCTGATTATAAGGTACCTAACCCTCGTCGTCACACTCCCAATCTATACAACGTTGTTAACGACAGACTTGTGGACGATAAATCCAAAACCTCCTTGAGACAGATGGTCGCCCTCCCGGTGATAGAACAAGTTGCCGGAATCGAAATCACCGTATCCTACCCCTCTATTCGGACATCGGATAATCCTATAATATTCCAGCACAACTTTTCTATCTCTTCTTCCAGCTCCAGGATCTTCTCGTCAGTCCTCAGGGTGCGTGCATTATATGCTGCCAGGTCGAGTCGCCGTATGTGGCAACCGAACCCCTACCGGAGATTCTTAGCAGCCCCTGTCCCGCCGTTACCATGGTCGCACCGTAGCTAGGAATAGCGGGGCCGCCGGGGACTGGAGGCTGTCTATTTGCGTCGTTGCTCATGGGCCATAGTTGTCACGCTTGACGAGCTGATTGGCAACCGTAGTTTTTTTTGTTGTACAGTTGCTGTTATCAGGAAGATGCTGCTGCCCATCTCCTGCCTGTTTCCCTCTGTTACTTTTTACGACGCCCACGGGAAGACATGGGGTAGCGGATATTCTTAACCACCACTACACGACAATTTTATTGTCTACAGCACTAAAATGTGGGTGCAAACTTACAAATCAATTGATTAAGTAAAACCGCAATTCTATTGTGTAACTCAATGGGAGTTAATATTTTTTTTAATGTTTGGTGTTCAATTTCGTTACATTCCTATGTATTAGTACGGTGATAAGCCGGCGTTTATATTTACCTGATTTCAGGTTTCAAAATGTGATTCTAATGAACAAACATAACGCAGTTATGGAATGAATCTCACAGGGAAAATATTCACACTAAAGTAACACAATAGCCCTGCTGGTTTAAAATTCAGTTGCATGATTTGAAATTTAATAATCATTTTATATTAATTAATTATCATAATGTATCTTTAATTTCTTTCTGCCTATATTGGATTAACTAAAATAATGTTATCCAAAAATTGTTCCTCAGTATAAATAACCTTAATATATATAAGTATGTTTAAATTTGTTTGTGAAAAGTGTTTCAGTATTTTTACTGACTAATAATTTGAGCCCTAGTACTTAGTAACTTTAATAATAAACGTAGTGATAATTAAGTAACAAGTCTTAGGTAAACTTCAGGAAAAATAACTACTCACTTTGGATCTAAACCACAAACAGACCCCGATATTCGACCTCCGGGTCCAGATTCACCTGATGACCACTTCTTCCACGTTGATATTGTGTCCTTGAAAAGTAATAAAAACATATAACAATTATTGAAAAAAATTAAGGACATTATATATCATCATTTATGATTATTATTAGGCGAATCACGCGTCTAAACCATCTGTATCCACCGTATCTCCATTTATGCTGCCTTTCGCGAACATTTCTATCGACTTATCTTATCGACTGATGGTCCTTTGACTAATCCATGGGCATAGTAATAAAAATACTTGATTTCACAAAAAAAATAGATAATCTAAATTAATTAATATGTTAATAATATAACATTTCTCACCTTTGACACTAATCCTCTTATCTACAAGTTCGCGTGAAAAAATATCAATAATTATTTATAACAACAACAACAACAACAATGTGCATGGCATTTAAACAGGTAATCGGGATTTAATATCAATTATATCTCACTGAGGAAGAAGTGCCTGAAAACGAGTGCTTCGTGTGATCTCAGTCCCGTATAAGCTTATGCTGAATCACCTCCGATTGCCTAAATTTAATTAAGATTAAGTACTTAGTTTATATTTGTCTTACCGATTCAGTAATGAATTTATATTCATTTACTTAAACTTTAATATATTTATTTTCATGATCATATAATATTTGCCATCTCCTTGTTTGTTTTCGTCTTACAACGCCCATGGGATGATACGCAGTACTAAGAATATCTATCTTACACAAGAGATAGAGTAGTACAAACATAATGTATTGGAACCCACCCACCCAACCTTTTTGAAAATTCACTACAGTCGCCCCTCAGTACTACCAAGAGACGAATTTAGGCAATGGGTTCTCTGACACCACCACCACAGTTTATAGGAATAAAATTGTATCTTACCGAGCAATCAGCTTTAGATGATTGCACACAGCCTGAATCGTCGTTTCGTATGCAACACGCAGTATCCCGTTCTCGTCTTGCTGATGCCGCTATAGCACGCGCTATCCTCGCGTCTCGCCTCATACAAGGCGCAAACTTAGCCCCTAAATGTATAAGATCTGCTGCCCTCGGTCCAAGCCAGAATGAAGCAGGTTCCTCCCACTCCACCTTGAAACGATTACAAAAAATAATTAGTAACCTAATCCTGTACGTATCAGGGTGGGTATTTTTCGGTACAACAAATATAATATAAAAAATCATTATATCTAACTACCTAGACAAAGAATCGCATAACAATAAAATAAAAATTATTTTTATTTGAATATTATTTTATTCATTTTTGTTTTTAAAGTCGGTTTTTATTTTTGAAGTAAAACTTCTTTACGCACGCTTACCTTGGAGAGTAAGCTGGTGAGTGTATGACGAAATCGTTACGAAAGGTGTGATCGAACGAGGCGAACGGGAGTTGAGTGGGGACATAAGCTAGAGAGACAGTGAGCGCGCACATTTTATTTCTCTCTTTCCCTCATAGCCAGTTATTTTTCGTAATTTTGTTTCGTTTTGAATAATTTTATGAATGAATATTTTGTTCAATACATTAAATATTCTACGTTTAAAGTGAATAAAATTTTAAATTCATTTCAAAGTTCATGTTTTGTAAATTTTCGGGTGAATAATAACAAATTACGGAAGGAAACCGATAATAAATTTAAATATTTGAAGAAAATAAATAATAACTCAAAAGTATAAAAATATTGGACTAATTATTTATCCAAAATTTTTTACCCTTTTGAATGTACTGAGGCATATCACAAGTTAACAACCAGATGGTCATCTAAATCCCGTAGTTTTGTCACCTTCTTAAGGGTGAAAAAAATGGGGCATTTATACTATTATAGACTTTGTAGTAAAAACCAAAGTAAAACGATTCAATAAAAATATATATTTATACGTGGTTGAGCCACGCTGCAGCTATATTATGATTGTAGCACGCATAGGTCGGCTCGACCGGGGAAAGACCACACTCTCACAGAATACCAACGTAAAATAGCAGCTTAATACTGCTGTGTTTCGTATGGTGAGTGTAGAGATCAGGAGAACCTTTTTTACTGGTAACGAGGTATTCCATCTTAGTCCTCAGGGGTGACAATGCATCTGCGTTTTGATTCTTAATCGAGGATAAATGTAGATGTCCACGGGCCACAACATTCACTTACCATCAGGTGGACTTTGTGCTCGCTTGTCACCCTTATTCTATAAAAGAAATCAAGTGGATTCAGCTATATTCGAAAAATCGATGAACATACGCCAAAAAGTAACATACGTGTCGAATATACAACTTTTTATTTTTTACTCGGTTAAAAATAAAAATTTTATAATAACATTTAATAATATAAAATTTTTAAATAATTCAAGTTTAACGGCTCACTTTGACAGTTTAGTGGTGCAGTGGCTAAGCGTTTTTTTGGCCGCAAGTTGGAATCTCGCACGAAACAAACGATTGCATGACCTATGCATCAAAACTGATTTTTTTTTGTTGTTTGTTTACGTGCAATTTATGTACGTAAATATGCCTCTATTATACAGGAAAAATCCGTGTGCGAGTAAGTTTCGCAGCACGAGAGCAACCCGTATTCGATCAAAATGGTCGATTAGATCGGAATTGTTAATTGCCACTTCAACATTTTCACTGACCCGTAACCCACGTATGAGTCATAGTTATTGTCTTACTATTATGTCTGATAATCGAACAGTGAAAGTTTGTTTATTTACCCCGTGCTTGGTGGTAAATAAAATATCGGGAGAAAGCCTGCGTGTCTGAAAGATTTAAAAAAAATATTCTCAAAGACGCGCGAAGTCTGCCAACACGCATCGTTACTGGCCTCGTATAAACAGCTTTTCAAGACGGGAATAGAGCACCTGCCAATTTCTCAAGCCCGTGACCTCCCTAACCGTGAACGTACGTAACGTGACCTCCGCAACCCTCGCGCCAGAATAAATAATTTGTAATATAAAAATTTTACTAGTGATATTGTACAAATTCCTATATTTGATATATGTACTACCTATATGATAAACATTATTTTCAGTTAAAGTTTAAAAAATCATTAATGTAATACAACAATTAACAAGAATAATCTAAGAATAAAATGAATCTATTTGGCCTCATCTGAACAACACGGGCCAGGCCAACACTGGCTTGTCTGAGGACTGGAACCAGCGTTACTGGCTTCGAACCTTGCTTTAGTACTTCATAGTTATGGGTATACTATCAAATCTAATTCTAAATACAGAAAAATGAACTTATAAATCATCACCCATGCAGCCAGCGTATATAAAATAAATGTTTCTAATAAACAGATTTTTTGTCAGAACAAATGAATTATTATTACACTACGTGTTTATTCCTAATATAACAACCTACCAATATTCCCCCTCTGTCGTCATCTAAAATATAAGCATATGTGTTCCCAAGAATGTGATTTAAATAGGCATTTACTTTACTATTTTATTTTAATATAAGAAACAGATTTATACTATAGTCGTACGTAAATATAGTCATACTAGTCTGACGATGTTTTTTTTTCTATTTAAATTTTACGGAAAGCACTGTTGAGGCTGGTATATGCAGCAATTTTCGAGAGTATAATTTGTAGTCATCCAGTTAATATACATATTTTAATGTTACAACTTACGAAAATACGAAATTTACTACGCAGTGAAGACAGAATTAATTAAGCCGAAAGTTAAGGAACCCAAAATACTTCACAACGTCCGCCTATCCTTTTGCGGTCAGTCGAGCTTAAAACATGGCAAGGATGACTTGCTAAGCGATAATAGCAAATACAAAAGTCCATGTCAAAGCATGTATGACCTACATATCGTGGTTCATTCACTAATAACAATCTTAAATTGTTTCCCCTTTAAGCAGTACGAAGGAGAATGCAACGTGCATTTTGTGTTATTGAAATATTATTAACTCCAAGAGATTTTTTTCTTATTGTGACCACTGTTTTACTTGGTTGTACTATTTGTATCTGGCTAGTTTTAATATCAATACATAAATTACATTAAGAAAAATAAAAAGTAAAAAACACTTTCCCACCAATTTTTCAATGTTTTTCTATCCGCCAAAATAAGTGAATCTAACAAATAAATTGGATATATTATAAAGTTTTTATACAAAAAAGGGACAAATGTAACTCAGGCAGGGAAAAACTTTGTGACATTTATGGAGTAATGCAGTGTCAGGAAGAGTAGCACAAAGTATGTTCAAGCGTTTTTAGACCGAGAATTTTTTTAATAAAAAATACTAGCAATTGTATAAACATTACTAATATAACCTGGTAAGCTTAAAATGCTTGTGTTAGGAGTGGTTCACGCGCGTAGTCGACTAGCGGATTCGACCTCACGATAAATTTGATCCTTTTAAATAAAGAGATTTTTATATATGTATTGGTCAGATCTTAGAATTTATAATATCATAGTCGATTAATACGTCAAATAGCGGTATTTCATAAAATTTTACAGTGTTTGCTGACTATATCATGATATAGTTTAACCAAATCGATGAATAGAGAATGTTTGTAAATATTAACAACTAAACGCGACATTGCTCTTTCTAGATACTATTGTTATATCGTAAAATAATTTTATTAAACACCGTTACTAGAGCTGATTGCGTATTTTTGGCAGAAACAGAATTTTTAAAGATTCTACGTCACTTTATGCGTTATTAATGTATTATCTCGAGGCACGGCAGTACCCCCGCCAGTGCGAGTAAAAAAGCGGCACGGTCGTACCATACTTTTCTCGAAGTAATTCAGGCCATTTTCGACCCCCTATAACTTCCTTGTAGATATAACTAGAAACCTGAATTTTCAGAAACCAAGGAGGCATTATAAAGAAATTTCAAATTTCATTCCATTTGAACCAGTAGTTTAGGATTTATAATTAGTCAAAATTTCTTAATTTTGTCACTCACTGACTGACCGATCATCAAAACTTTAAGGCACTTCTAGCATACATAGAAGCTTAAAACATAGAACACAATTAGTGTTTAGTGTAAAAATCAAGAAAAAACTAAAACATTTTTTTTAATTTCTGTCCAATTTTCTAGATACACTAACTGCATACATAACTTTGTAATCCCATATTAGATTACAAATAGGAAATCCCATATAGGAATACAAAGTTACATTTGCGGTGAATGAATCAGTGTACCTATATATTATGTATAATATGATGGAATAAAAGGTGTAGATAGGTATTTTGTTGGTAATCAAGAAGTAGAAGGTACAGGAAGGAAAAAAGTAGGACTATCTGCAAAAAGAAATGAGATGCCATCAAAAACATAATTTTGATTTTATTTGAACTTTTGATTGACTTGGCAATCGCACTAAGAAATCGATTTTAATATAATATGTATTACTTGTGAGATATATTGTGTTTTCATGCGATGGCCCAAGTCAATCTATTTATTTAAAACATAAAATATTTTTAATATTGATATGGTCACAATAAGATGTTGTTATGTTAGCTAATTACGTAATAACTTAAGACAGAAGGACATGGATCTCACAATTTTTTACGAAAGAAGAACTAAGTTGCGAGACTTGGTTTTTTTTACTAGTTATGTTTTTGATGGCATATAAATATTCTTGACTTTGTTGCTAAATCGAACCAATGCAGTTGCACGTCAACTAAATGTGGCTGAGTACTATAGAGCACAGTTTTGGTTTTCATAGTTTTAATCTACTAATAGCGGCATCAACTTATTGCTTAATTAACTAATAATGAGTAACTGAACCACATTATATGCTTATTGTTGCAACACCAAAATTGTCAGGCCTAAAATATCCAGACCAGTGGCGACTGTCCGCATAATTTATCATAATTGTTAATTTTAGCAAAATTACTAACAAAACCGTGAACACAAAGTAACTGTGAGTAAGAGAGAAGTTCTTTAGTTTAATATGTTGTGTGTCAATCAGCATAGCAATTTCTGATTTCAATGATGTTGATACTGCTTGCCTATGCGGTTCTTACAGTTTCGCAAGACTCAGGGCCCGAGCTTTTTAAGCATAGCAATATTTCACCAAGTTCGTTTTGTATCAAGACCGATATAAGTAATTTAAAATTAAATGTACTATGAGATTTTTATCCAT